AAAACATCCAGAACTTTTGCTGAAAGGGTTGGCACTATCGTAAAATCCATTTAAATTAATGAATGTTTTGATCGATAAAAAGAATATTATTTCAATTAGGTAAAAAGTAAATGTAATTTAAAATGTTAACAATTAAAAATGGGTCAAAAATTGCTTCCAACGCAATGCAAAAAAGCCTAATATCTACTGATCTACGGAGACAAACAGATCAAACTAAAGTTCAAATCAAAAGTTCTCAATTCAATAGTTATATAGAGAAATTAAGAGTCTGTTTTGGCCAGGAAAAATAAGTTAAAGTAATTTTTTTTTTCAAAAGCATTTTTTTCAAAAGTACTTTGGGTGAAAAACAGTTTGTGTGACTAATTAATTTGAAAAATACTTCTAAGCAGCAATTTATATTTGACCGAGCTTTAAAAAGTGCTTCTAAGTGTATTTTTCTCAAAAGCGCTTCTCAAAAAATTCTTTTGGGGAAAAGCTATTTTTTTCTGCTTCTCAAAAACTGCTTCTGCTTCTACTCAATATTTTTTTTTTCTTTTAAAAACTTTACCAAACACTTTTAAGTTTAAAAAAAGATATAATTTCCTTAAACCTTCAATTGATTTTGCAGTAATCATGAGCTCCTAAACGATAACATTTTCTGTCACATCAATCTATTCTTTTGTGATCCTTTTCCTTGGATCGTGTACTCAAACAACGAATAATAATATGGGAAAGTAAAAGAGAAAAAAAGAAAAGAAAAGAAATGAAAAGAGGGACAAAAGAGGACAAAAGCATCAATCAATTTAATTAGGCGAAGTGATCTCAACTCAAAACCAAAGACCCACCCAAAACCCGCCAGCGCAAACCGCCAACAGGTTTTTCAATCCACCGGCTACAGCCCTCCACTGATAAACCCTCCAATTCCTCAGACTCCCATACACTATAAATATCTTCAATTGATTCCCTCACTTTCCATATTCAGCTAAAAGTCTTATACAGAGAAAATCAATCATCGTTGTGAGATCCAATATTGGGATGGCTGACGTGGCAGCAAAGGCGAGGAAGATATTGGTGGCGGTTGATGAGAGCGAGGAGAGCACCTACGCCCTTTCATGGTGTATAGAGAACATAATCACTGGAAATACCAATGATGCCCTTATCCTCCTCTACTCCATACCACCTCGAGCTGTTTACTCTTCCTTGGACGGAACAGGTGAGAAAGACAACCCTGAAGGTAAACTTAACAAAGTATTTGGAGGGTATCTGATTAATTGAATGGCGGGTTTGGTAAATTTGTTAAAATCTCAGGGTATTTGTTTTCATCTGATATATTGGCGACGATGGAGAGGTACAGCAATGAAGTAGCACAGTGTGTTATGGAGAAGGCGAAACGACTTTGCAAGGACTTGGATGGGGTTAGTCCATTTTTTGTAAATTTACTGATAGATCAAGGTTAAATTGGTCAGTGCAGAAACTTAGAGGTAATGTTTGTCTGTGTTGGGTTGTATTCAGGTTAAGGTGGAGACGATAGTGGAGCGCGGTGATGCAAGGGACGTGATTTGTCAGGTGGCGGAGAGGTTACATGTCGACATGCTCGTCATGGGAAGCCATGGCTATGGTGTAATCAAGAGGTACGCTTTTTACTATTGTACTTTTTTTCACTTATAGCCATTTGTTATTCAAAATTCACTCCCCTAAAGTTTGATAGCCATTTCGAGAATCTTATGGTCAGAACTCATAAACATTGTATTAAGAATATAAATGAGAATATTAGAATTAATTATAGTGTCCTAATATAAAAAATGTCGGTCTTTTCAGAACAAATTATAAAAAAGACTCTCATATAAAATGAGACATTAGGAAGTACTAATTACTTTCTCGTTTGGCATTAGGAACTACTAATTACTTTCTCGTTTGGTAGTTAACATAATCTGTTGTAAACAATCATGGAAATTTGTTAGTTATGCATATTGTGGGTGTGATTTTGTAAACATTACTCCCCCCTGTCCACAATAGGTGACCAGTTTGCTTTAGGCACGCCCATTAAGAAAATACTAAATTCTATACAAAAATACCTAGTATGACTAAACTACCCTTAATTAAATATTAATGTGAGGAGTAAGAAAACTTTTTAGGGATATGCACATAAGGATAAAAGAGTAAAAATAAATTGATTTTTTTCTTGATAACATAAATGGACACTTATTTTGGACCAAAATGATAAAGCAAATTGGTCACTTATTGTGGAGCGGAGGGAGTATTGAATTGGAGGAAAATGTTTGAGGAAAACATTTTCCAAAACTCTTTTCAACTTTCTCTACCCTATTCCCATCCCACCAACCCTCACAAACTCACACCCAACCCCCCCAAACCCTACCCCCACTACCAAACCGTTCCCACCCCAACCTTGCCTACCACATACTTTCTTTTCATGTAAATAGAGTACTTTTTTGTGTTTCAACAAAATGAGTATATTCTTTTCATGATGCAAAAAAAGTAGTTTCTTTCAACAAAACGAGTTCTTTTGTTTTTTCATGATGTAGAAATAATATTTTCTTTCGTTTGAGTATTTTTTTTTTCATGATGTAGAAAAAATATTTTCTTTCATTTCAATGTAGAAAAAAGTTTTTCATGAATGAGTACATGAAAGATGAGGATTTTGGGAAGGTGAGGAGAGTAGGGTAAAAAAGTTATTTTCTTAAAAATATTTTATTCTCTAACCAAATATTAGAAAATATTTTTAGGAAAAAGTTTTTCACTCGTCAATCAAATAAGGAAAAATAAGTGATAAAATCACTCATTTTTCATGAAAATATTTTTCAGAAAAATATTAAATACACCCATTATGTTAAAATTTTTAATTAAATATTTAGTAAGATGATATCAAACAATTGTAAAGATTTATTGCTCTATGGTCCTAAAGTTATTCAAAAGCTGCTTGGAAAGAGACTTGTTTTGTTACAAGGTTAAACAATTACTATTGGCAGCCAATCTTCATTCTTATACTATTTGATTATTAAGGATGGGAATTGGTAACACTCATAATTCAAATTATGATTATTGCTGTCCAATTTAGTCCCTGAAATGCTACCAAGACTTAGTTTCGGATAAATTTGGATCGCTTCCTAAATTTTACCAAGTGAACCATGATACTATCTGAATTATTTTTCATTACATTTAATGACAAGGAAAATAACAAACAATTTTCACAGTGAATTGAAAAAAAAGGTAGAAAGAAGAATACTCTTATAAGTATATTATGCATTTTTTCATGCTTATGTAATGGTGTCTAGGGTTTTAATGTTGATCTAAATACAGGGCATTTCTTGGGAGTGTGAGCAACCACTGTGCACAGAATGTCAAGTGCCCAGTTTTAATAGTGAAAAAGCCCAAAACCAATGGCACCAGCAAGTAGATTTTGTACGTTATTGAATTTGTTTGTGTAATGTAAATAGGCAGAGTTCTGTGGTTTTGTTGTAGTTTTTCTTTTTCTTGTTTACCTTGATTTATGTACTTTTGGATTAAACTTGCAGAATGATTGTATGATTGCTTTTCAAATTTATTTGCCTTTTGTTCGAGCAACCTTTTTTGCATGACTAACATTGGCAAAGGAAAGCCTTGTTCACATACTCTCCTTTGAATTCATGTGAACCTATTTGACTTGACACGTAATTTAAAAAAAAAAAAGAGAACTTTGAATTTGAGGTATAAAATGAGACATATTTTGTGTGTCTATAAATTATTGCATAACAGTAGATTATTTCCAAATATGGAAAATAGGTCATTCTTTTTTGGCACGGACTAAAAAGTAAATATGTTCACGTAAATTGAAACAAAGTGAGTATTAGTTATGCAGTTTGTATAATACAAGAAACGTTTCAGTTAATGTTGATTGCGTTAAAATGAGTATCAAGTAAAACGCAATTAGTCTAAATTAAGCCACTCTTCAAACATTTTTCTGCTACATTGTGTTCAAACGAGTTATCTCTTTCTATTTATTTGGGTTCTTTCTTGTGGTTAGAAAATGGGTTCTTTTTCTGCTACTATGGGTTCAAACGAGTTATCTCTCTCTACAAGGGAACTCTAGAAAAAGCAGAGTAGGGCGTTTTCCACTCAAAAATTATCATTCTGTTGAAAAACTATACAAGTTCAAAATAGACTAAAATATGAAAAGATACATTAAAAATTTATACATAAAAAAGAGTGGAAATGGATATTTCATTCAGAGGGATGCCACGTGTAAATTTCATCAAAAGAGGGGTAAATTAAGAACTTTGACGCAGGGACAAATATGACTAAAAAGTATAATGGGGGACGAGATTATATAATAAATGTAAGTAGAGGGGTATATCAGAGATCCTGTGCCTCTAAAAAAAAACTTAGAGGAGTATTAAAACTACCTAAAATAAGGCTACATATATAAAATTAAAGGGAACATAGGTATTTTCCTTCCAGAGCGAAGCCAAACTTCCACTGTTAAAATATTATTTTCATGGTAACGACAACGATTCTATCTTCGTAAGTGTTACAACTAAAGTCTAAAAAGTCCACATAAATTGGGATACACACAAGAGAGTTATTGCTTATCTATGAGAAGTTTTACACTTTGCATGGTATCTCAAGTCAATTAGAACTCTTATTAACCAAGTAAATAACATTAAAAATAAAAATACAAAATGAAGAAAAGGAGAAACGGTTCTGTTTCAGCTTAACGTCTCTATGTCCTTCTTCCTCACGGGGCATTGCTTTGGGTAAGCCAATGCTCAAACTTCTTGTTGTAGTTATTGTTCCTTTATCTCTTCTAAATTTTCCTATTCAAGCCCTGCTTTTTACTAGTTTGATCTTTAAATGCATTCCCCAGTTGAAACTTGCATTACAATGACTTTAATTTATATTGGTTAGCAATACTAGAGTGTAATAAAATTGTATTTATAAGATTAGGTTATATGTGTTTCGTCTTTGTGAATCAAGTAACAATTCATCAATACTAGTATCCTAATATATACATGCAATACACTTTATTTAGTTTTTGATAAGTATATAATTATCACTCAATTGTTATAAGAAGTTCAGCAATAAATTTTGTATATGTTAGGGAGTACGTTGTGCATTGATTGTCATATTGGGAAATTATAGACATCGGAATTACACTATGCAACGGATGAAGCTTTACTCCTGCAATGTGCTACGTCATGCTTTCTTCCTCATTCTCCTTGTAAGTACCTTTCAATAATGTATGTCTTTACTTCTTTTTTTTGGTGTCAATATTAATTACTTTAGGTTAAATGAATTAGGAATAAATTATCACCAAGGGTTGTGGTGGAATGATAAATGTACTCAACTCTTAATCAAAGCTATCGGTTCGAGTGCAGGAATGAAGTTCCCTTTGGTAGGGAGCTGCTAAAGTGAGCTTTCTACTGTGCGAATTAGAATTGGTCGAGCCAGTGGATTTCGGATGATTATACAGAAAAAATAGGAAGAACTTTAGCAATGTACCGTAATTAGCAAGTATTTTTGGTAAAAATATATGTTATTTGAATCTTCGGAATTGACAAGATAATATAATTTGTATTAATAATATCGTTTTTTTTCCTTCCTCGAAACTTCATTGCAGGGAGTGGCAATTTACATTTTTGTGAAGTTGTCTGTGATGAGAAATCAGAGTGAACACCATGTGAACATGCTATCAGAACAATTGAGAAATAAAACATTTTCACAGATTGAACACACTGCCAATATGTTTCTTCCCCTAAATTACTCAGCATCAAGCTTGGCTAGAGGTCTAAGTTCATCTCTCAATGGAACTCAGTTACCCTTCACCGCAATCCAATCTAAGGTAAATAAACAAATTTCCTCAATTTCTTTTTTCCTTTTTGGTGCTTTTATATATTCTGGAGTTTGCGAGTTTGATGAGGTAGCAAGAAAGAACTTGTTCATTGTAGTTTAATAGAATTATTTCAAGTAGTGTTCATTATCAGGTAGTAAGAACATCAGCTCTACAGTGTTAGAATGAAGTTGGTTGCAGCAAATTTACGTGTTTTATGAGAGACTACCCATTTTGAAAAATAGTTAGAGCAGCTCCACCATGTTGCTCGGACTCTTTAAAAATGTCACCGGGTGCGTGACGGATCCTCCAAAAGTAGCGTATTTTTGGTGGATCCGACAAGGGCGCAACAACATTTTTGGAGTGTCCCTGTAACATAGCCTCCACCTTTGTGAGTTTGTAAAATATGACCAGTCCCAGTGGATAGGGGTTGAACTGAATCCCCTCCATTAGAAAGTTATATTGACGTTTTACATTTTCTGAATCCCCTTTAGGATTCCTAACTTCACTACTAGTTAGGAGTCAACATAAGAAGGGATTGCGCTAGGTTGATTGCCGGCGAAAAATAGTTCGATGATGATGAATCATTTGAATACTAATAATTAGAGTACAAAGGTAAAAACTGAGAACCAAACTTTGAAACATGGCACTAGTTCAACATTTTTCCTTGCTCATTCGGACAATTTTCAGCTGACAAGAAAACTCATGTATTGTTGGTTTGTTGATGTTTAGGTAGCACCCCTTTTGTTTTTGTCACTTTCAACAATCCCATTCGTATCACAAGTCTCATATGTGGGACAAGATAGGCTGATGGTCGCTTTTTACACTGAAGAAGGCCACGACGAGGACCAAACTTTTGCAGTGTTTTCCAATACTTCATCTGCAATATGGTATAGTCAGCCAGTGAATCGTGACACCGGGATGCTTTATGGGCAACCAGTGGTTGTTGATGCAAAAACAGTTGGTGTTGAGACTCTAGGCTGGTCTAAAGAATCCTTAAAAGGAACAATGGGGTATGCATCTCAGTCCTCTATTAGCACTGGTTTGAACAAGGCCAAGAGGGAATTATTTTTCAATACAGCCACAATGGATGGAAGAGGTAAGATCTCTGTGGGATTTCCAGTACAATATGTGGATGACAGATTTTCCACCTTAAATTTTTACGGTGCGGATTTTCACCTGGCTAGTAACAATGGTCAAGTAATTGTGGACACAAAGATTCCACATACCAGCATAATTGTGTATAATGGTACTGTTTCTGTGCAATTCAAGAACTTGAATGGTTCTCGTGAAGATTTGAGTGGCAACCAGTCTTGCAAGCTGGTAAATGGAGAAAGGGGACAGTTTGAAGTGAAAATCAAGGAGAATAATTTCATATTCTACTGCTCTGTCATTGAAATAGCTGGACTCGAATCGGTATGTCTTGACCAATTACTTGTATATGTCACCATTTTGACTTAGTGAAATCTCGATCTGCAGAATATTCTACTGTGCTATATCTTGTGTTTTTGGTTTTAAAACCACGTGTTTTGTTCAAGATTTCGTATTGAGATTTGTCTAAACTGAGTCATATTTTTCTCTGCAAGGACAGCGCATTCTAGACTATTTAAGTATATTGATTTGATGCGTTTCTGACACGTTGAATATGGAAATTGAAGAATACTGGAGAGATTGAAGATTAAATGAAACAATGCATAGATTAATCAAAAAATTTAAACAGAATAATGAATAAATTACTATTGGAGTAGCTTACAACAAATAGGAAATGAACCTTGAAAAGACTAATTGGCTTTTGTTTTGCTTTTAGGTGTACACTGTGGCGTTCAGTGCTCAAGGAATGGGAAGTAATGTCATTAAGCATAGCGCGCAAGCATATTTGCTGCTTGTGCTCTTGTTTGTTATTGTAGTAGTTTCACTATGTGCTTTCATTATCATAGTCTTCAAAGCTGCAAAGAAAGAGATGTTTTTGTGTGCTGCTCTGATCAAACAAATGGAATCAACTAATCAAGCGGAGAGGAAGAGTATAACAAAGAGTCTCGCATTTGCTGCCGCAAGTCATGACATTCGTAATGGTTTTGGAATTATAACTTGTCTGATAAATCACTGTCTTAATGAGGCATCCCCAGATTCTGAAACTGCATCTAACCTGCAGCTCATCAATAATGAAACCACAAGCCTTTTAGGTATGTCCTATAAATGCTATATTTCTATTTTTTTTATTTTTCCCTCACACGAACAAGTTTTGATGGGTAAAATGAAAGCCTTTTATACCTCACTTAACTTAACGATAATTATTTTCAAGATATTGAAGCACTTTGAGAATATTAATAAAACGCCAACAGAATTGTAGAATGGGCAATGAAATTGACAACTTTTTGACGAATCAAACTTTTGTAAGGGTTGTTAATCTACGTGTACAAACTTTGGCTAGTAATAAGGGGGAGTTGATGGATTATATACAGTTTGACCTTTAAAATAATGAACATAGTCTTTCTCTCAAGAATGAAAGCTTCTTGTCATGAAAGATCAAATAATACAACTAGTAAATACTACCATTTTCCACCCTCATTGCCAGTGACAAATTCGCGCAATGAAGATATGAGGTCATCAAGGTTAAAAGTAGTAATTATCAATGGTACTTGTTTGGCTTTCCTCCAAGATAATTGGTAACTAGATACAACTATCTTAGATTTTAATATACTGTTAAACTTTTGACTTGGCCTAAGTTTTAAATATAGAGCTTCCAATATATGGTCACCACTGGTATAATTTGTAGAACTCTATTTTGCTGAAATTGTTTCAGGCATATTAAATTCTGTTCTGGACGCGAGCAAGATTGAAGCTGGTAAAATGCCACTCAAGGGAGAAGAGTTCGATCTAGCAGAACTCCTCGAGAACATAGTTGATTTGCATTATCATAGAGCCATAGAGAAGGGAGTGGATTTGGTTCTTGACCCTAGTGATGGGTCTCTTTCAACCTTTCGCTCAGTGAAAGGTGACAAAGTGAAAATTATGCAGATAGTAAGTAATTTGGTTACCAATGCTATCAAATTTACCTCAGAAGGCCATATTTCTGTCAAAGTTTCTGTGAGCAAACCAAGTAAAGACAGCGCCCTTATTGTTTGTAATCGGCATAGTCCATTGAACTGCTTGACAAGATTGTGCACCAAGCAAAAGTGTTGCTGCAATACTTTGAATGAATTTCCAGCAATTCAAAAAAATCCCAATTGCATGGAATTCACCTTTGAGGTGGATGACACAGGTGTAGGGATTCCAAAAGATAAACAAAAACATGTCTTTGAGAACTTTGTTCAGGTGAAAGAAACAACTTGTGGAGAAGAAGGTTATGGCTTGGGACTAGGCATTGTTCAATCTATGGTGAGTATCTTAACTGGCTTTTTCTTTTGGTTTCCTTCAACAATTTAATATGGAATGAAATAACAATACTTGGAAAAGTACATTCTTTGAGTAAACAAATCCAAGCGGTTCTGCTGTAATCCCTTTGGTTCTGATTGTAGAGTATATGATTGAACAACACATCATCTAAAGGAGGCCATGTATATGTCAAAATAAATTTAAAGCTCTAGATATGATTATGTTTACCGTAAATTTGGTGTAGATAAACCGTTGTTTGTTATGTGACAGGTGCATCTAATGGGGGGAGAGATCAAGATTGTTGACAAAGAGGATGGAGAAAGAGGCACTCGATTCCAATTCAACATATTTCTGACTACTTGTGTTCCAGTATCTGTTGTTGAAGCTGAGGAACAAGAAACCAATACGCAAAATCATGGCCTTCGAAGTTATCTTTACCATCACTTGGGACTCCAATTTCGGTCATCTCCATCTAGATCAGAGGGATATCATGTTGTCCTATTCCTAATTGAAGAAAAAAGGAGAAAAGTTTTAAGCAGAGTGATTAGCAAAATGAACATAAAAGTTTCAGAAGTGGGTAAAATTAACGAACTTGTTCAGGCGCTTGATAGAATAAAGAGAAAGTTAGACCTTTCCTCTAGTTCCCTTGAGAAATTTGAGGTAAATCTGAATTTAACCACTGGTGATACAAATGAAGTGGCTTCGGGCACAAAGGACGCACATGATCAAACCATCCCTCATTGCAAAAGGTCTAATTCCAATGGCTCGTCAAACTTCATAATGATAATTATTGATTCTCAGGCAGGAATTTTCTCAGAATTGAGTTCACCCGTCGTTAACTTCAAGAAAGATTTGCAGAATCTTACTTGCAAGGTTGTGTTGTTGCAAGATCATGTTAGCAGCAGCAGCCAGCCACCGCTTCCTCCTTTTGATTATGTTTTTCAAAAGCCATTGCATGGCAAACGTTTATATGAAGTGCTTAGACTTTTATCTGAATATCGAAATAGTTCAATCCAACATGATAGGACTAAGACTGGTCAAGAAATCGAATTCCAAGAATTGGACTCAGATGCCTTACCTAAGTGCCAACTCGAGGAGATTGTTATAAATGATGGTAACAAAAGGAGTAGTACTACTAGCAAGGACTTTAAAGGAAAGAAGGTTTTGGTGGTTGATGATCAACCCACATTGCGCATGTACGCTTCTAGGTCTCTTCAAAAATTAGGAGCAGATGTTGATGTTTCTGAGAATGGAAAAGAGGCCTGTGATAAGGTTTGGGAATCTTTGAAAGACATGTCTGAAGGTGATGATGATGCCAGCAAAACCTATGATTTTATATTGATGGACTGCGAGGTAACATTTCTACACTTACCTCTTTTCTGCTTTACTATTTTTTACAAATAAATATTGTAAATGTTATATGTTTATGGATTTTTTTTTCAACTTAAAATAGTTTGAGATGTTTATGAATGCAGATGCCGGTTATGAGTGGGTATGAGGCAACAAGGCTTATACGAGTAGAGGAGAAGCAGCATGGTATTCATATTCCCATAATTGCATTGACTGCCCATACTATGGATGATGAGATAAAGTTGCTTATTAAAGATGCTGGAATGGATTTTCGCTTGACTAAACCTTTAAATATTCAACAGTTGTATGATCTCATTAACAAATTCCAGTTTTGAACGACTTTTTATTGCCATTAGAATGAAATATATCATCGAATATGATCTCTAGTATCTACCTACCTTATAGCCTTTAGTTCATACAAAAAAATTGTAACAGTAGCATCGCTCTTGCTTGAGGTGATCGATATTAATATATAAGATTTGGAGGAAAGGAAAAAGAAAGAGGAAGAAGGAAGATGAAGGAAAATTCCGCTGCTGATGGCAAGCAAGCAATCAATACATGTCGACCAACCTATAAATAAGCTATTGATCACATGATCTTTAAATACAAAAGCAAGCTCTCTTATTATTTTTGTGACAACTTGTTTTAAGATGATACAGCAAAACTCAAATGATAACCTCAATATTATAAGGGCTAAGAGTTAATTGCTTAAGGTTGAAATTCATCGTATCTAGTTTATCGGAGAGCAAAGGGTACCACACAAATTAACTCGTCTACACACAAACTACCTCTTAGTGACATTTTCCTCGCTGGTAGATCACCGTCATTATTTCAGGATAGACTACACTCGGGGGCCAAAAATCTCACAGAAAGTTTTCAAGCAAATTTATGTTTACACATGATTAATGATCTAAGCTTCTCAGATGGTGCTTCAAGCAATAAAAAAACAGCAAAAAGCAGCAGCAGAAAGGTCAACAATAGTGCCAAGGAGCCAGTCGAATACAAAACAAGGGGAAAATTCACGCTGGTGTAATTTCAAAACTATTTAGTAGATTCTAGTCAAAACCAAACATGTTTGCTCTTGGCCTGAGTCCGAACATCAAAGCAATCAGCCACCCCCAAATCNGCTAGCATCTTTGTCAGCTTAAATCAAAATGCTTGGCCCTTACAGTTCATCCTGCAAAACAGGTGCAAGAGAATAAATACAGTCAGATTAAGAACAAGAAGAAAAGTGCGGCTGCTAGCTCTGCTTGAAACTTAAACAAGATACAATTCTTACATGCGCTTCATCATCCTTGGACTCCAACTTGTCATCAGCATCATCAGCATCATCATCGGCATCATCATCTTCCTCGGCCTGGAAAAACATGTTCACACCATAAGGGCAAGATAGAGGAAGAATTCAGCTTCCTGATGGAAGGGTAGGGGAGGGTATTGAATGCTGCGACATAGGTGAAGGAGAATTGGAAAGGATGCAAATTCAAAGAAAATTTAAAGGCTTACATCAGAATCAGCTGGAGCAGCCTTTGATTCCTGAACAGAGATTTAAATTGGGTCAGAAGTAATCAAGAAACACACAGGAAAAAGAACACAGGCAAAGTTACCACAGATGCAAAACTAGCATAAACAGAGGATCTGAATTACAGGGGGGGAGAAGGACAAGTGGTGCATACTTCCCACCTATCTGTAGCTAAGAACTGCTTAATTTGTATATCAGTTAGACATTGATGCCTAAGAGAACTTATTGTGGAATAAGTTGTTAGGAAAAAAAAGAGAGAGAACTTGTTGTGGAATAAGAAATAAATCAGCACAAAGAATAAATCAATTATTACCTCTTCCTCTCTCTTCTTTTCTGCTTCCTCAAAAGCAGCCTTTTCCGCCTGCATAATCAAGATAATGTAAGATACTAAGACTCAATAATTCTACTACGATTCACGTAAGGGAACTACATACATCCTTCTGTTTTCCCCATGTTTCTTCAGCAATTGCCTTGGCATACTCTGGATCGTCGCATATGACAATATTGTCAAACAAGGTTCCAGATTTCACCTGCAAAATATATTACACTTCAGTCAAAAAGATGCCATGGAGTAATAAGTGCATATGCAATAAATCAAACTTGGGAGTACAGCCAGATAACACAAGAAAAGGAAACTTTCTTACTTGCCACAGTTCAACTCCCACATACTTCAGATTTGGGAAAACATAGAGATCTGGGTCATCCTTGAAGTCTATAGATTAAAAAAATATAGATATCAATAATTATGATATTAAATTCCTCATAAAAAAATACACAAATGTTGTATAGACAACTGAAAAAACCTGGGTTGTCAATCAAAGGAGCCTTCCACTTCCCCTTGTAGTTGGGGTTCTTTATTTTCTGAAAAAATGAATGACTAAGCATTAGGTATCATAGTATAGGATAAGTCATTCAGCTTAAATGTGCTGACTCCACAAACCTTTGGCTTCCATGGGCCCTTGTACTCCGGGTTGGGAATGGTTGGGGCTGTCCATTCACCATCTTCTTCATCATCCCAGTCCTCTGGCTGCAAATATAAAAATCCATCAGAAATTAAAAAAAAATACTCTAAATTCCAAACTTGTATAAGCAAATCTCAACTGGTTAGCGGTTACCTTCTTGGCATCGGGATCAGTTATCTCCTCTGGAATGTCATCATAGTCCTGCATTTGTAGAAATTGAATTTGTTGATTGTCGTCTTCCTCTAATTTCAAATTATGGCAAAGACAAACCACAAACAAATTAAGAAGGATACCTCTGGCTTCTTATCCTCAGGATCATCAATGAATTCCTTCTCATCCCAATCTTCAGGCTGCCATAAACATGAAACTTGATCATTAACACCACAAAAAAGATAAACATCAATTGACCATGAAAATGTGATGAACTGTCAATTACCTTCTTGGCACTTGGATCCTTGATTTTCTCTGGTGGGAGAAGGTCCCAGTCAGAATACAAGCTACCAGACTGTTTCTCCACATTATCAATGAGAATGCTGTATGTAGCATCAGGGCGGAGGATGAAAGTGTAGACGTGGGTCAGTTGATCAGTCTCACATGGTACTTCCTTCTTGATCAAGTGGTTTGTGTCATTATAAGTGAGAATAGCATGGACCTTCTTGGTGCTGTAGCCACAGATGTCTGGGCCAAACATAATGCTGTATGGAAACATATATCAAAAAGCAAATTTATCTGAATGACAACACAATTTTCAAAGAAAAAAAATACTACAAGTAGCAAGAAAATAAGATGTGTTACCTGTAGGGAGTGTCACCACCGAATTTCTTTTGGTCAACGTCCCCACTAAGCAACTTCATGTACCCACCACCACAGTCAAGCTTCTGCTCATGCTTCACAGAGAACTGGAACACTAAGTTTTTTCCCTTGTTGCTAAATTCAGGGAACTCAGCTGAGATGGCATAGAACCTGTAGTCTTCACTGGTTTGGATACCTGCCGCAGTGCAGAAACAAATAAGAGTTAGTTAAACATATCATTATTCAGCTCCTCTAGACTAGATTTAGATATCAAAAGGCTTATAGCTTGAATAAATCACAGACCTTTGTCATTAGCGTCTCCATTCCACTTGCCAGATGTGTGATTCCACTCTCCAGCCATGTTTTCATCTTTCTTCCATTCAGACTTCACCCACCTGCTTTCCCAGCCATCTAAAAGTTCAAGAAGCAAACCTTATTAGCCCCAGTGCTAAAAATCGAATAATAATTTGAACCATTTATACTTGGCAATTTGCATTGTAGCAGAGCAAACCACAGAATATCAGCATACAAGCATTGCCTTCACACTAATTAAGTAACTTAATGCAACACTAAAATGTATTTAGGATCGAACAACTAAGTATTGATTGCTATTCAACCGAATGTATAGTTAATTGATGCTAACTGTTTTAATTGCAGACTCAACAAACATATACACATCAACCATTTGCAGTAGACTGGCCAACTAAAGTCAAGACCGTATACGGTGCACTAATTATAATACAGAAAAGTCAAGAATTAATTTGATCCGTTTATTACTAATAATTATGTTTGTGTTCCAAATTTTATTCTGTATAACATTATATATCCAATATTAGTTATGCGGAGCTTTAAGCCATGATTTTTAATAATACAGAAAACGGGATGAGATCTAACAATTACGAATTTAGTTCGTTTACATGAATAAACTTCCAATTCCATCACATGCCACCAGACGAACAAAAGCACAAAATGCAACGTACACTTTCCGTGAGAAAAGCTACAGATAATCGATTGCATTCAGATTAAACATCATTCAATAAATCAAGTAACAATCACAAATATAAAATGCAAAAAACCTAACACGTCAAAAAAACATTCCGATCTACTCCTATCATCTTAAAATTCACAGATCTACCTCGAAATTTCAAGTTCCTCTCAGATCACACTAAAAACACCAAGTACATTCGGATTTTCACACTCCAAATCAAATGTAATACCAAAATTCATTCAAATGATAGCGATCAATTAAACTGACAAAAAGAGAGAGAATGAAGAAAATTACCGTTGAAACTCTCCTCGAAGAAGACCTCAGCGGAGACTACAGCAACTAGCAGAGAGAATACAGTAATTAGATGGAGAGAGCTAGGGTTTGCCCTTCGTTGAGTAGCCATGGCCACTGTTGTGAGATCGAAATACTGACTCTGAGAGATCTCTGATGAAAGCTCTTTTATACTGGCGAGAGGATTTTGGTAGATACGTAGGGCAGCGTTTGGTCTAGTCCGACGTGGATACGTTCAATGACGTGGTCGAATTAAAAATAGGCATTTGTAATTAGAGTGTCATTGACTTGACGTGGCTGAAGCTTGTTGGGTATTTCCACGAGTTGAAAGTGACCACAATTAAGTTGGCACTTGTGCGATGGTTTTTTCAAAATAACGGATTTAGCCATTGGTTTTTTGCTCTCTTTTTTCTTTCACATGAATTTCGCATACAATGGCGTGCAGATAACGATTAATCTTAGAATTTATTGTTTATTAAAAGTATAATTAGGACTTGTACAATAAAAATGATTTTATTTTTTCTGTTTTTCTATTTCTATTTACCTTTTGAGATTGAAGCAAAAAAAAAAGTGAATTTCTGAAAAGTCGATTAAATAGTCATCAACTCAACCTCTTAAATTAAAAATAATATCCAGATATATAATATAAGTATAGTACATATATAATATTTATATAATTATGTATAATTAATACATGATTTATGTATACCAACTAAAAAAAATAAACAATAAATCTATTCGATTATTTGTGTAAAGATCCCTCGAAGAACCCCAAAGTTAATTACTTTTTCACATTGTTTCTTGTGGAAATTGCAAAAAATGTGGGTGGGTGAGCTCATAGTTCATACTAAGGTGGCTAATCAAAGAAAAGGGACCTTTATATTTCTAACAGTGAACTTGTACAATAAATTCTCTTTGCCAACATCAATTTACTGTCAACAACTAAAAATAAAAACTTTACGTCTGAAAATATGTTTCATATATAAGAAGATGTTTCAACCATAAAAGTCAATCTATTTGCTTCCATGGATATTTCAAACGTTACGTCTGAAAATATGTTTCATATATAAGAAGATGTTTCAACCATAAAAGTCAATCTATTTGCTTCCATGGATATTTCAAACGTTACGTCTGAAAATATTCTAGTTGATTCATAGATTTCGAAAACTTAGAAAGTACATAAAGCTTAAAGCATGTAAAATTTGTTCACGAATACAAACTTGTCATTCTACAATATTTGTTTCCATGGATATTACTTCTTCTCATTTCATTTCCTTTTTGGTTGCTTTTTCTTTTGTCATCCATCAAGAAATGGAAGATGATTCCATTTAGTGAAAAAATTATAATAAAAAAAGTCGAGTGCCAATCGGATCCAACTGTACAACAAAACGTGACATGCAAGATATTAACAAACACATTTATGTCAATTGAATTCTTTATTGTTCTTTTTTTTTAAAATATTGTTAGTGTTCAAGTTAAATTGTATATATATTAATTATTTTACTGAAGGTTTTTTACTCTGATTGAGATTTCTGATTTACTAAGGTACCTTCTAAATCAATTAACACA